CTATGACTGTTTTCAACTTACACTGGTGGCCTGGAAAGAATTTCCCTCCACAATGGTAATAAGAATTGTTTCGTCTATTTTCTTGGGGGTATCGGGACGTACCTTTCTATATTTTCTGATTGGAAATTGTTTTTGGGTGTTTAATCATGATTGCTGTTGGGTGAGGGTGTTTTGGGACTGCAGGGTGAAGGCTGTGATCTTAAGCTGGAGGTTGGAGTCTTGTTTGTTTTAGATACCTTGCTGCATTTCATGGCTTCTATTGCTTGTTCCTGCCACATGGCTAGCTCAAAGGCATGGTTTTTGAAGTTTGAGGTTTATGCATCCTCATCACAGGTCTCAATCCTTCTTCAAACCACTAATAACGCTAGAGATAACATACCTCTCAGTTAATCCAGAGTTTTCTGAGAGTAAGAAAGATCTCATCTCTTCAAACTCTCTTTGGTAATTGCTCACCTCATCCTCATGTATAAGTTTATTAAATTCTTCCACTATATCAATTCCTGTTAACCCCCCAAATCTCCTACATAGTTCCTCTATCAAGGTATCCCAAACTAATACTTCTGGCGAATTTGCCAAGCCATGGAACCATATTTCTGCCTTATCACCTAGGTACAGTGTTGTTGTTTCTACCCTATTTTCATCTGCTATGTTCTACACATTAAAGTACTTCAAAAATCTTCATATCCAAGATCTATGGTTCTGACCCTTGAAAACGGGAATATCCACCTTTGGTGTAGGGTTTTTCGTTTGATTCTGTGGGTTTTGCATGCAACTACCCTCAATGTCTTGCTGCTTTGGGGTGGGGAATATACCCTGATCATGAGCCTGAACAGTAGAAGAATGATTAACATGCAGTGACAACTCACCCAGCCTGGCTCCAACTCACTGCATCTCCGCGAGTTGCTCAAATCTTTGGTCAACTAACTCCTTGGTTTGGCGCTGCGCATCATAACCACGAAGTCAGAGCCCTTCTGGTCAACTTCTCTCACACTGTCCTCCAAGGTCTGCAGTTTCAATGGTTCATTAGCCACTACTTTCCCTTTCCTTTTTGCCATAGTCACAAAACTGGTAAGTGTCTCAGCAAAATCAATCAGATTTGATATCAAGTTGTCAAGTACTTTTGAAATGTACCCGGTAACTGTGAGTGCCAGAATAAGAAGAAGATATGATTGGATTGAAGAAAAGAGCAAAAGGAAAGAATAAGGGAGGAAGAAGACTTGAAAGTACTTGGAACCGAAAAGATATACTTAATATTCAGACTCACCATACATAGATCAAAGAATACAGAGTACTTAAAACCTAAGAAAGCTAGAATCATCTTGAATATTGCCTGAAAACCCTCTATGGAAATAGAGTGAGGAAAGATGAAACCTTATCCACTCAATACCCAAATGATCCTTTAGCTCTGATACCCTTTATCTAACACTAATTCCTCTTAAATAGCTATCCTGGATTTTTGCCATGTACCCCAAACATTCACCAATTGAAGCCCAGAACCCACTTATTCCCTGCTTAAGCCAATTGCCAACACATGCCCCTTTTAAGCATCAAATTGAGCCACGTGTTTGTCAGCGGCTCTTCATCTATATACCCTTATCTGCTTTAGTCCCCTGCTTCCCGATTCATTTCCTTCTTCATGAACTTGTCTTTGTTCCCTACTGCCGATTTCATTTTCCTCCCCATGACTTGCTTATGTTCCCTGCTTCCAATTCTATTGTCCTCCATTGAGCTTGTTTCCTCACATCTTCACAATGTGGACCCCAAATTGTAGAGCAACACAAACTAGATAGGTGGTGAATTCTTGGTGCAACGCTAATAAAACAAAAATCAAAAAGCAGCAAAGACCTTGAACTGGGAACAGATCGGTGCAAGCTAATGTGGGTCCAACTCCGGGCCTGTATAGGTGGATATCATATATGGGAAGTGGGTGGTACCCCAACAGCAATCAAAGCTCAACAAGTCCCAATTTTGATGCTTTTCTACATGCCAAAAAAGAAAACAAACTTCTAAGCTATTGTGGTGTGTTCTGCCAAAGAAGTTAAATCAGGGAAAAACCAAGAAAAGGAACAGATGAATTTATCTTGATTTTGAAATGTTAAACAGCACACAATTGTATAATTTAAGCGCTTTCATAAAACTGCATAACCTTGTGATCAAGCCCTAACATTTAGTCAAGCTTGGCACTTTTGATAACACTTATTGATCACTTAACCAAATACTTATTGCATATTTTGTTCATTTCCCATTATATTCCTAGCTAATTCATAGTTTTAAATTGTAGTTCAGTCTTTATATATATAGTCACAACATGATCCTTTATGTTTCAATTTACTCCAACCCCATCTTGAACTTCTTAGCTAGGGTAAACTCAAATTAAAAAAAAATAATAATTT